TTACAGATTCCATGGAATTCCTCAACAACATGCTGGTGCTTTGTCAATTGATCATATAGACGGTTTGGGTTCCCCTCCCAGGCAAACACTCAAACAAATCAACCACATGGTTACATGCACATCAATCCGAAATGGAGGAGGCCGCGTTTCAACGGCGCGACCACATTGGTCATCAGTTGGACAAATGGCCTGTGCGACCGTATGCAAAACATGCCACGGTATTCTTGGGCGGGGAAACTTGCTGACAAACTTGATGATTCAGAGAGGACTTGACAAACTTGATGAGATTCGCCTTCCCCGGTCGAAGTACATGTTCAAAATGGTTGATTCCGGCGGAAACGAGACTCCCTGGAAGAGATCTTGCATGAAGCATAGACAACTGGGCGTTTGGGATGTTCCCACGTACATCTAAACCCAACAGCATTTAGGTGAAGGTTATCACGAGGCAAGTGACTGCAGGTCTCTTCGGAGGTGTCTCGCTGGCGTCTCGGCCCTAGTATGGGGGCCGCCTTTCTCCGACTCAAAGGGCCTGCTTCGAACGAAGCAGAAGGCTTTTGTCTGTAGCCCAGTTGCCCGCGATGCAGATCTGACCAATGGAGCTGTTCAAAAGGGTCTGTGGAGTCCAAGTCGAGAATCTTTAAAGTTTTTGTCAAATGATTTCTTCAAGCATGGTTTCAAAGAATCACGTAAACCAGTCATGCTCCAGGTAGAACATGGTTCCAGGTCGGAAGGGGCTCCGGCCATCTCCGAAAAAAGCGGTTTCCAGTTCCCCCACTTCCGAGGTGAACCGCTTTAGGCCCCGGAGCAATCAACAGCCACTCTCATTCCACGATGGAAGTGATGGCGGCCATGGTTTTGGCCGCCGATGAAAGGCCCCTGTCGACCTAGGAAAACCCGTCTTTCCATCGGCACGAACTGTTCATCAGTTGAACAAAGCAGAGAGTAGTGGACGCTACATGGGCGGCGCTGCCGTCGCCCATGTCATGAATCCCAACCAGTCATCTCTGCCGAGCGGCGCAGCATCGGCGAGCCCCCCGAACGGTTCGGGTGATTAATTAAGGCTTAAGGTGTCCCAGTGTTTTTGAAGGTCTGGAAGACACGAGCTCTTACAGTAGTTCCTGCAAAAAGACCATGTTGGATCTGATCACAATAACAAAACATTAATCAGCATTTTTTATTTTAGTTTCATCTCTTGGTGGGTTCTGAGCGATTCACTTCACTAAGCCTCAACTCAAGGCCCCTCAAAATCATTCTTTGTCCGGTGTCTACCTGTGCTTCTTTTGTGTTATAGGGCGTGTTGGCTTCCCATCCGGGAAGCCTCTGTATAGACTGCGTAGACCGACCGAATCCATGTTTTGAACTGGTCAGTGGCCCTCTTTGATCGACACGAGTCCGACCGGCAGACCTTACTTCAGTTCGGCTGTCACCCAGGTTGGTTGAATGGGTTGATCAAAAGGAACCTGAATGTTGCTTCTTCCACATGGGTTGCAGGTGGTTACTGTACCACTACATCCATATCCACCATTCTCGGTTTGGTTCCTGATCCAACACACAGAAATAATCCCTTCCACTTTCACCCATAAATAAAAAAAACAACCAATAAAGACACTGCGGTGTTGTTTTTGTATATAAATAGAGGTCCCCAAAATACGGGGGACCCGCACAGATGGAAATCTGGGAAGAGCTTCAACACCAAAAAAATTGTCCAGGAACATATCTTTCTGCCATATAAATCATGTTTTAAACTCGTATCAAAATTCGAAAAACCTTCAGATCGAAGGTTTGCTTCCATTTCCCCAACCCTTTATTGACATGGTGATTCTTCGTTATTCTTCTCTTGTAAACTTTTCATCAGACCAACAAAAGTGATTTCGAAGGGTGATCCCTGTGACATGCGGTTTTGCGCGACCTCGGTGGACAGTGCGGCCTCGGTGGAAGTGCCATTTCGGAAGGGTGCACGTGCGTGTGTAAATGCGGCGTGGCGCTAGTGAGGGGCACGATTGGGGTGTTTCATACATAAATAAGTAGCTCAAGAAGGCGGTAGTTGAAATACCAATATCAATATAGACTAAATTTAAGGGTCTCCGACAAAGGGTCGTGACTTCATAAAGGTGATCGGGATTGTTAGAGCTTTTGAAGATGTGAGGACACCTCCATACTTGAGACGGCACCTCCCATCTCCCTTGACTGATGTGCACACTTGTGAGGGATCGAACTCCAAACGAAAGGAAGGCTGAGTTTTGTGAGGCTCGGTGCATTCGATGTCGCATCCAAAGCACCTGAGTCACCTGAAGCAGTTCTGAGCTCCTCAAGGGCCTGCTAGCGACCTTTTTGGCCAAGGTTCCATTACTGAAACTCAATCTGGGGATAACTCATACCAACGGCTCGGAGTTTGACCCTCGACTGTGCAAAATCATGAGTCTCAGTTGGCGGCCCATCTCCAAAAGAAAAGTGCGAGACGACAAACCATAGGGATGGAATGTGATCTACGAAGCTAGCTTGGATGGCAGCAAGCTCAAGGACTTCATGGTCATCTACGCACAGCCAATTCACGAAGCACTCCAACTTATCACAGTGTGAAGAGGGGTCCCAAACCGAGAAGACAGAACACTCACGAAAATATCCCAGATGGTGCCAGCATGGCACACCAAAAATCCATACGAGGAAGGCGAGGCAGACGAGGAGGAAGAAGACACAGATCCAAGCCGTGCCAAATAGACACCCAAGACGCCAACAATAAAACAATAAGAGCCCAAAGACACAAACGAGCTCATGCCCGTGCCCAACAGAACAAGCAAGATACCGTGGAAACATATGGCGCAACTTCCCAGGCAATCACAAAGCTAGCTTGTACGGTCGCAAGTCCGTACTGCCACCACGCAGAGCCAGAGCAAACATGACAGCCAGGTGATACCGCGCCATGCCTAGAGGACGCAAGTTCGCCAACGAACTATTCGCAAGGCAGCGCATGCCATAGCAACTGGCATCAGGAAACATTAGTTTCCTCCAACGTGCTTGCAGCTAAAGAAGAGAGCCACAGCAATCGATGCGCAGGTCGATGGCATCTCCTGGAGCCGGTCTTTCACTCCAACAACATGGACATCGCCATGCTTCAAAAAACCATGGAGATCGGTGCTGCCAAAACTATGGGACAGCACTAAGTCATCTACAAACACGGGACGCCAACATGGAAACCAGGCTACTCCACAGGAGTGGCAATCATGGTTCATCGCTCCAAAAAACACAGCAAGCCCGGACAGGCTCATGTACCTTGAAATCAAGTCAGACAACAGGCATGATGTGTATGGCTCTGCCTATGCACCCGGAGAATGGGTGGTGGATCGGGCACCCATTGGATGGTCATGGTATAGAATATGTCTATGTTTGTTGACATGTGTGCTTGGTCCGCTAGCAGTTCTTGGAGCAGCCGTGCTGGGGCCGCCCTAGCTGCGTGGAAGGAGGATCGGGAGAGAACCTGGCGCCATGTTCGGTGAGGATCGAGAGATATCGAGAGTAATCCCGAGTACCTTTTAATGGCCTTTCCAAAAACAACTACTCAAATGGCCGATTTTGGTGGATTTTTTTTATTAGCGCCAAATCATAAAGTCTAATGAAGAATAGCGATTTTAACAAAGGCTTTTGCAGGGGAAAAGGAAGACATTCGATCTGGTGGCTTCGTTATTTTTGATACGAACTTAATAAAGGATTCCATAAACATTTTCTTGGGTGACTTGTTGGTTTTGAAACTCTTCCCAGGTTTTTGTACGAAATCTGCATTTCACGCTTCACAAGGCGCTGCGCCTGCCACCAAACCTTTTTTTTAAATGCAATCAATCAATGTTTCAAGGGTCCTCCCACTGACCTTTTTTTTGGACACCCCCGATTTCGAGGACCCCCTATTTAAAAAAATGCACCCGAATGTTTGTTAATAGGGGGGCCGTGTTTTTATACTACGTGGATGGGATTATTTGGGGGTTGGAACGGAAAAGGCGTGAGGAAGAGTCACCGACTCAACGGAAAAAAACATGCAAAACACATGCACCGTTGAAGTATGTTGAAGTGAAGGGTTTGTTGTGCTTCCAGGTTCTGAAGCAGTTCCCAAGGTGTCCGTACTTTAATGTAGACGCTTGATTAAGGAACCCCTCATATGAAGAGGACTTTCCAATTCAATGGGTTTGATATGTTTGATTGATGAGTTTGAAAACCTGGGACACTGATTGCTCTTGGAAGCATGCTGAATCTACATGCGTCCAAATGGTACAGATGGGCCACCTGTGTTTGACGGTGCAGAATACACGCGACAACAGATGAGTTTAAGGAAATACAGAAAAGAGATCAAAAAAAGGAGTTCCATCCGAGATCTCACTCGAGCCTGCGTGACCCACCAAGAGTGGCTCCTTCACGGATGGACTGGTTTGGGCAGGGGTTCCATTGGTCTTGGTATGTCTTGGTAGTGTTTTCAAAAAGTCCGCATGTTAGTGTTTTCAAACAGTCCGCATGTTTCATGAAACTCGTGAGCCAATCTGAACTATCTCCGTTCCACCGTACCCTCCACCGTCCACCGTGAAAACCCGGGAGAACCTCTCGCGAACTCGAGAGATCTGTGAAACGGTCAACATGTTGAGCTTAGATAGGTGTGTTACATTGTTTTGCAATGTCTTACCTACACAAATTGGACTGGAGTACTTCCGAACTATTCTCACAAGAGGCTTAATTACTGTGTACAAGTTCTGGATAGTTAATACGTGATACCATGTAATAGTATTTCCTTTGAAACACCTCAAGTACAACATCCATGAAAAGAAAAACCTGATACATTCCTGACACCTGAACATGGTTTGCTGGCGCCGCAGACCCCTTGTTGGGGCCATGTCATCGCCCGTCAAATACAACCCACCCCAATTGGAGCTTCAGGGTTTCCCTCGTTCAGCCTGTGTTCACACCGCACCCCAGAAAAAAAAGAAAACAGTGTCTTGTTCTCCCCAGTCAAGTTCACTGAGGTTGAGCAACGATTTGCCCTCCTGGCACCAGTCGGCCGGGTGTCGTTTGGCCTTGCAATCCTCCTCCCATTGGCGGAGCGGAAGCTCAGATCTTTCCTCGAGCGATGGAAGAAACGTAGGTCAACGGTGAACGCGCCAAAAACGATGAGCCGCCAAATCGCGGCGCACAGAGCAGAGACCTGGAATCTTGGGGAGGTGGTCGTGTCCAGTGTGGCATGGGTTGTGTGGATGTGGCATGGAGTGAGGATGGGAGCGGATGGCACATGAGGGCACATGTGGTTGGAGTGTGTTCTCAGTTTTCTTCAGAAAAGGCTCCAAAGATCTGAGCAGCAAGCAAAAAAAGTCCATGGCAAGCTCAGGGTTTCCTTTGTGCTCGCAGTTGGGTGACAAAGAATCACAAATACACAAAAAGAGCAATTAAACAATATGAAACATGAAAATAGCATGGTAAGTAAGAACTACTCAAGTTGTAGAGTGAATGTGCTTAAAAGTATACACGGGTGTGTATTTTTATAAGGGGACCCCCAACCAACGGGCTTTGCGGCTTTGCTTCTTGTCTCAGCTCGTTTTGAGCTGTCTGAACCTCCCCAGCATAGCGTGAGAGGTGCAGGAGGGTCGAAAGAGCATTCCTATAATTCAGGCTCCACCTACAGCGCCCGGAGGAAAAGGGAACCAAGCCTTGGCCAGTGTGTGCATGTTCCCTCCAGGTGGATGGAGGTAGCGCCACAGCTGTTGAAAGGTCGTGTACGGCAAGACTGGACGGCACGGAAGGCCGAGAAAACACCGTTTGTAGCCAAGAAGGTGAAGCGAGTCACATCGATCGACCCAAGGCCCAGGGAAGGCAGCAGGGGTTACACCTTGAATCCACTTCCAAACCATACGCCGGGTGCGCGCTTGCGCACCCAAGCCAGTGGGTGTAATGTCAGCCAGGACGTTCGGATCCCGCAGAGCCCATGTCAGCGGTTTCTTACAGATGCGTACAGGGACCGAGTTGCCTGTGGTACCTGTAAAGGCGACATACAACTCCACCATGCTGATGGCTGTGGAATCACGAATCCAAACCAAATCATTCCAAAAGGCACAAAGACGTTGACAAAAGGTGTCACCAAAAGGAAACCCCGCATCAAGGAGCACGGCAGGGTCCAGTGCCAGTATATCCAAAGGACGCCCTCTTGGTTGAACTTGGTCTGGAGTAGGCATAACCCAACCCAACAACTGTTCAGGAGGAGGGTGCTCAGCCAAAGCCGCCTTGCCTGACCAAGTCCAAAAGCTGTGCAACTCCTTGACATTAAAGTCAGCTTGTCTGACATGGTCATTGCGCCCCCGTTCCAACCTCTGGAAAAGATCACGATGATCAAGAACAACAGCCTGCTTGGCGTCGCGATCCACAAGATCATTCAATCTGCCTTGTTCGCGCAGACAAGGATCATCCAACAATTTCCATTGCACATGAGCTTTGACCTTGGTGCAGGATATGGTGTCAGGTGGACGCTGCAACAAATGCCACCAAATCCTGTGCCAAATGTCGTCATGTCCAGCATGCTTGTATGGATCACAGGTCCTCCTTTTGCGTAACAAAGTCTGCAGAAGTTGTAACGCAGCGGCGCAGTCCAAGTGCAAACGACAAGCGAATCGATGTTGGAGAGATTGCAAAATTGCGAAGCACTCACCACGATACGGACTTTGTTCGAGTCCTGGTACAAGCCCACGACATAACAATTTGGATCGCCCATTGTGGACAACTCTGGTCCCATCTGTGTAGATGTCCCGGAAGTCTCGGTCCTGCGGAACAACCAAGTCAGGAAAGGTGACATTTTGTTGCTGCTTCAACAAGAAGAAGGCCTCCACGTCAGGGCACAAACCGTAGTGCAAAGTGGCACGAGCTTGCTGATGCATCCATTTCACCAATGGTTGTCTGCCTTCAATAAATCACCAAAAAATTCAATACCCTGCACCGGAGAGTTCTTGGAATGGAATACTTTCCAATAAGATTTAAAATCTCGATAAGAGATTTAAAATGCAAAAAAATGCAAAAAATGTTTTAATTAAAAAAAATGATAAAAAAATGCAAAAAATGTTTTAAATGAAAAAATGATAAAAAATGAGAAAAATGATAAACAAATGTTAAAAAATGATAAAAAATGATTAAAAACATAACATGGCCAACGTTTGGACACGTAAGAACTTGTGAGAACCCATTGGGCATAAATTGGATTAACATGTGACTAAAACGGGGTTGCATGGATGAACTCATAATCTCAACGATGAACAGTTTGTGAGCACTTGGTGAACCTATTTGTTTAAAGGTTTGAGAAAGTTAAACCAGATATGTTTGTACATGTTTTTGAACCATGGTGCACCACTTAGGTCAGAAATTGATAGTATAGATGACTTTGGACCATTTTTGACCTTATTTCACAGTTAATTGTTTTGTGTCCTTGCTGTGAACCTACTGTCTGCTGTAGTCTGCTGTAAGCTATAATCTCAACAATAAAAAGAAATCTTGAAATAAAATGAAAATCTTAGCAGAAATCAACTCAAAAAATCTCAAAAAATCTCGAAAAATCTCGAAAAATCTCGAAACATCTCGAAACATCTCAAAAAATCTCGAGGGGATTAAAGGGAAAATAATTTTTAACAACTCAAAAAATCTCAAAAAATCTCGAAAAATCTCGAAACATGAGAAAATATGCAAAAATATGCAAAAACATGCACAAATTTAATTGTACATGCGAACTGGAGCGTGATATGACTGCTGCAGTCAGCTGTCTTCTCAAACGTCTTGTGTCTGACTAGACCGTGCTGTTGCCATGTCGGTGCGCAGTGCAGTGAACCGGGCACAGAAAAAGGCTCGTGGGGCGCCGCCTATGTTGCCTGGAGGTATGATGCCGCAGATGTTTGGTGGTCCTATGATGCCCCAGATGTATGGTGGGATGATGCCTCAGCAGATGTTCCACCCACCTCAGTCTCAGGTGGGGGAAGGTGACACCTACACGTCAGAAGATGAGCATGAGCAGGTGTCGTCGTCTACTGTCCCGCCCAAGGCTGCAGGCATTCCTTTGCAGCAGGAGTCGTCTGCTGTAACAGCAGTGGCAGAGCTGCAAGAGGATGGTGTCCAGCACCACCAGCGTCTACCAGATGCCTTAATTTCCCGCTCAGTGACGTATGTCAAGCAACTTCCACTTAGTAACTTCTGTCGTCTAAGGTTCGTCCTGCGCGTGGTGGATGACATCATCGTCAAATGTGTTCAGTTGTTAGGATAACTTCTCCCCAAGAATCACAATTTGATGGACCATGTTGTGTTTGAGGTGTTTTCCCCAAAAATAGTAACTTTTCTTAAAACAAAAAATAAAATGAAAAAAAAAAGTGAAAAATGTGAAAAAATGTTTTAAAATGTGAAAATATGATGAAAAAGTGGAAAATTGATTAAAAAATGTGAAAAATGCAAAAAAATAAAACATAAAATTTCATGCGACCCTGCTCTGATCTAATCCTTCTCTGATCTAGGTGATTGAATTTTTTTGGTGAATAAAGGGCCGGTGACCCGCGCGAGCAAACAAGCGGTGGGTCTTCCCGTCCACCAATGTGCACTTGGGGCAAGCCGAAATCGGAACAGCAGCACTATATTTGCTGATGATGTCATTCGTGACGTTTCTCCCACCGCAAATGACTTTGAGGATCCCCCCTTCTTGAGGTGAAAGGGAGCGCAAACTCTGTCGGCAGGGACCTGGTTCGAAGGTCAGCAGGTCAAAGTCCTTCCTGTCTTGTAACGAAGCACAAACATGATGCCTCCAAGCAATGTCGATGAACAGAACAACTGACTGCCAACTGTCGACAAGCCATGAGCATTGGAGACCAGAGTCAATAGTGATCAAACCCTCATGCTCGCATGAAACACCAATGGCCAAGAAGGTCTTACGCAAAGCTTGGGACCAGGATTGGCAACTCATGCCCCCAACCAACCGTTTGCAGAAGGAACTTCGCAGGCCTGGAAAGACCCGAAAAACTCGGCGCCAGAACTTGCAGACCCGCAGTATACGTGCACGTTGTGGATCAAGGTCAGGTTCAAAGACAGCCAAAGCAAGCAATGTCGAACCAGCAGCACCAGCATAATGTAGGCTCTTGCCCACTGCACTGCGTAAGGTCCTCCACTGCAAATGGGTGGAATGAGTCAACTCAGAACCATAAAGAGCAGCACCCAACCCTGCAGATCTGGCAATAGAAGATGTGAATGTCTTGGGAATAAGGCGCTTGCCACGAAGCCTCCCCAAAACAGTCTTCGCCTTGGACCAACGGCGAGTCAAAGTCTTCTTGGAAACCTTTCCAGTGTAAGCCATGTCGCACCCCAAGTCCTTAGCATCATAGCGAAGAGGAAAGGACTGCCCCTCCACTGCAACATCACGTAGGGACTTCCGCACAGTTGGGTGTGATCCCCAAACCCAACTCTTATCCACTGCAATCTGCATTTGCCATGTCCGGATGAGTTCAGTCAGCTTGGAGAGGCTTGCCTGTAAATCCAACGCATCTGTGGCGAAGAGGCCCCAGTTATCCGCATAAAAGGCGGGCTCAGTAGTTCAACAACAACGGAGGCCAAATAAGAGATGGCCGCCATGCATGCGACAGAAAAAGCGCAGCCTTCCGGTATCCCTGTAGAACTCGGAACAGGAGTTGCAGACACGTGCCCCAAGACCTCGATGTGCCGGACAAGCTGCTCAAGGGCCCCTGCGAAATCATATATGTACTCCCTCGGAAGACCCAGTGGGACCAGCAAAGCCAGAAGGGGCACCCGTGGGATTGCGTTATAGCATTTCGCGATGTCGTCCAGAACTGCACCGCAGAGCTGGTAGCCCTCTGCACGGGCCTCCTCAAGTCGACAGAGGGTCAGGGCGCATAGCATGTCGGCACTGGTGCCCGAAAGGCCACCTCCCACAGCAGCAGGGACTATATCGCGGAGGTAATCCAGGACTTGCGTGGAGCGGTATTTGGACCACGATCTGTAGAGCCGGGAAATGATCGTTATAGGTCGTGTCTGCAAAGGGTCCGTGGGGACCAGCTCCAACTTGGCAAGCAACGCAACTTTGGCAGCAAGCAATCGCTGAGGCCACCCTGTTTCACTCTCCGCTGCACGGAAAATTGCAAATAACCAGTCAAGCAAAGTGCCACGAATCATGCCAAGGTCCTGCAACCAGGCTTCACCAACCTGATCACAAATCTCCTGTGCACCTGTCGTGTAGGTCAGCTGCCGGACAGACATGTCACTGGAACGTAGTCGGACTGGCCTGTCAAAAACCAAAAGGTTGTCTTTCACAGCCTCAACAATCGCCTCTTTGTTCCTGAAACCAAATGGGCAAGCCGGGTACAAACTGCTTGACACTTTCATGACATTGAAGGACTTGCAGACCAAGCTTAGGCCAACGAACTCTTCTAAATGCGAGGTGGCCAAGGCAGTCAGAGGTGGTGGGCAATTCACGCACAGAAAAGTAGGCCCGAGCACCTCCCTTCGAACAATCAGCCCTCATAGCCGTAGCCAGGGAACGACACTCCAGAAGACGAACATGTTGCTCAGCTGTACGCACCACAGTTGTCATCTCCGCATAGAGGACATCCACGAAGCAACGTGCAGGAAGTGAAGCTGGCACAAAGATACGCAGGTGTGTAAGCGCCCAGGTTGCAAACCCTGATGAAAACCCCTGGCAGAAAGAATCGCCCGCCAAAGCTCTTCACAATGAGCCAGAGTAGTCTTGGTCTCACCCCTATCCACACTGCGTAGCAAACCAAGAAGACTATTCAAGCGTCGAAGCTGTTTGATCTGTGATCGCAAATGCCAGCTGGGTTGAAGAAGGCAGGACTGAAAGTCATCACAACGACCTTGCTTAACGAGCGGGGCAACAGCATTCATCTTCCGGAAAAGTGGCTTCTTGCACCTCCCAAGAAAAGCCCGTGAGAGGTGTACCGGCTCTCCGTCTGTGGAAACAGTGCTAGCGCGTAGGCTCTTC